GTGTGTGTGTGTGTGTGTGTGTGTGTGTGTGTGTGTGTGTGTGAGGGGAAACTCAAACACATCACCTGCTGTAACACACCCAGATCAATGTGTTGGTGTATTTGTGTATTTTCTGTTGCTCTTTTAGTCATTAAACCATTTTATACAGGGTTTTTATTATCATTATTATTATCTTTACTTAATGACAGCTAGTTGTTTAATAACATTTTAAAATGCTCAATGTAAGGTAACAAAGACAGGTTTGCTTTTCAGATTTAAACTCAGTTGTTTCCTAAATTAAAAACTTTTGAGTAAAATCATTTCGTTTTGTTTCTTTAGCAGCAGATTTTTCTCCACCCAAACATATCTTGAATTTAATATAAGTCCAGTTCCATCATATTTGTTTATGACCTGCCTGATGTAGATCGAACAGAGTGTTTACATTGAGTGCGTACCCACATTTCAGATTTTTATTTCAATACTGAAAAATTAATGGAAAAAACTGGTTCAARCTGCACATAATTCATTATATATTCATGTTTTATTTTAATTTACAACACCTTTAAGGGTTTTGCTCAACAAATATGTTAGTCAGACTTGTTTTTACTCTTTCTCTGAGGAACACTTTCTCAAAGTCGATGATTTTGGACAGCAGCTTTTAGCTCCAYGTTGTCAAACATTTTAATCAGTTTCTGAAAATAGGGAGTAATGTGTTCTCAGGTGGTAAAAACAGATGGTTTGTATAATTCTCACTTACATTATAAATACTCTTACATAAATACTCCAATATTAGACAGTCAACTGTTTTATGGAACTGACAAATTAAAATTTATATGAGTCAAAAAATAGTTAAAGTTGCAGAAAAAACATTGATTTTATAGAAAATCTTCAGGCTTTTGTCAGAAGTATAAAAACAGTTTAAAACATGCAACTATTTAAAACTGTTTGTCTTGAAGCAGCAGAAGGTGTCATGTTTTTGAGCTTTTATTTTTTAAGGTTTTTTGCCGTTTATGAGTCCAGTTTTGTTTACTTCCTGTTTTATTTTGTAGTATCTGTCCTCCTCTTCCTCCTCTGTCACACCTGATCCTGTTTTGTAATCAGCACACCTCCTCATGTTGTCCAACACTTCTGTTCTTCTTGTGTTTTTAAGTTTTTATTTTCARTCTGAGGTTGGTTTTATTTGTTAACAGGATTTATGATTTGATTCGGTTCTTTCTCCTGCCAGGTTCTGGATGTTTGGACCACCTGCCCTGTCACTACAGGTAAACATTATTTATATTTTCTGTCTGTGTTGTGTTTAGATAATTTTCAATTTTTTAAATTAT